AATAAAAATCAAGTTTAAGTCATTTTATTCGACTTTACGTCTGTCCGCCACAAATATTGAAGTCGTAATATCACTAGATAAACGTTTAAAGCACATAAAATCATATTAAAATATATACAAGTATGTACTGTATTTACAGTACACGCATTCGTAAATTTAGATTATTTTTTTTGTACTATATTAAAAACTAAAATTTATTTGTTTGTAAGCTTAAAATAGATTTTTATTAACCATATATTATTTAAAATGCTTTCCTAGTGATAAGTAGATTCGGAGACAGGTAAATTCGACTTACGTCGTTTTTCGACTTACGTCGTTTTCCTGGAACCAATTACCGACGTAAGGCGAGGTATACCTGTATTCTTTAATGTTATGTAAGACAACAAAAATAATTAAGAAAATAAATGCTTATTGGGCTCAAGAATTAGAATAAAAAATATTTCTGCATCAATAGTTATGACACAATAAAACTTTTTTTCTTTTGCCAAAAAAATTGCAAAATGGACGAGATGTTTTGAATTAAGTCTTCATATATATCAAAGTAAAATTTCTGTTATTCCTATTTACTGTATATTTTTGTCTTAATATAGTTATATATGAAGCATGTCATATTAAAATTTTGTGATGATTTCAAATTCAGTATATCTGTAAATAAAATATCAAAAATAATTTATATTAAAAATTTTAAAATAACTAAGTTCATTTATATTTACATAGCCAGTTGACCTTTTGCATAAAACATTGGCAGAATTTCAAGATGATTTACCCCCAGGAAAATCTTTAGAAGAAATATTTAAATTATATGATGAATATGAACAGAACAGAACAGGTTGTAATTAAATATTTAATTATTAAATTTTACAGAATAATTAAATGAAAAAACTTAAATTTCATTTATGCATTACTTTTATATTATGTTATGTTGTAAGTTTTAAAATAACTGTAAAATATTCATATTTTCACTAGCTTTACTTGCCAAATGTCAAGCTGAAAGAGAATATATTATATGGAGAAGTGCTGTTAAACAAAGATCCCAATCTCTTTCTCCTGGCAGAAGAGAGAAGCATTCTTTAGATCGTTCTTTAACATCTTCTGGTATATAAAAAATTTATTTTAGATTTTTTTAAAAATATTTTTTAATGACTAAGAATTTGCTAGTTATCAAAAGTTCAGTTAAAAAAAGTAAATATCTAATTAAAAAAGAAATTAGCAATAATACTAATTTTTGTTATGTAGTAACAATTTCAAATAAGTAAATTTAGTAAAATATAGTAAGACCCCACTTAATGCTGATTTGATATAATGCAGTCTGCTCAAAGCCTAAAAAAACTTCAAAATTTACGCTGATTTAAATTATCATGGCATTTCATTGATTCGTATATAATACAATTATTTACAAGCATGAACCAATCAGAAAAAGGTGACAAAAAGGTGTACTTTCTTTAAATCTATGTTTGTTTGGTGCAATTTTGGAAAAAATATAACATCATGGATGCCATAAGCAATATCAACTTCACTTGGCAAGAATTAACCGATAAATGCACGAATGAAGTGTGGAAGAAGTTTGGCTGAAGGTATCCAAGAATTCTGAATGAGAAGAGCCTATCGCTGTATTGTTAGTTTGACTAAATTGTCAACCTAATTGATACAGCAGGACTAGGAGATGTAGACAAGCAGGATATTGAGGAGATACAGCAGGTTTCTGATGAGAGCCTTACCAACAATGACCTTCAAGAACTGACAGAACAAGGAATCCATGTAGAACTGGAAAATGGAGATTCTGAAAACAAAGAATCCAAAAAATTTCCGTACAGATTTCCTTAGTAAAAATTTGGTAACGATAACTGAAATCATTGATCAAATTGTAGCGAATGATCCAGATTTTGAAAGTAGTGCAAAAGCAAGACAAGGCGTTTTGGATGCGATCTTCTGCTACTGACATTTGCTTAAGGAAAGGAAAAAGCAACAATTGAAACTTCATGACTTTATTGCAAAAGAACAAGAATTTCAGAAAAGTCAGGACCTTCGTCACAAAAAATAAACATATGCATACAGAAATGTAAAAGTTCATGTGTTATTTAACATATATTATTATACAAATTAATATAAAAATAACTTAAAATTAAAGTAAAATTTGTTTATTTTTGGTCATGTGTTCCTCTATCCCTATTTACTCTTATGTTAAAATGACCTCATTTAACGCTGTTTTGTTTAGTGCTTTGTCGTCTTGGAACGCATCCCCCACGTTAAGTGGGATCTTACTGTATTAACATTTTGTGAGTAAAATTAGCATATAATAAATGATAAATCACGGAATATATACTTATGATTTGGAATTTGATTAAATCTTTAAGTTATTATATAAAATTATAAAATATGCATATCAACAAATGTATGTAGTTAGATCTTTAGTAAAATACCATATTTACCANTAATTATAGTACATACCTGTATTATAAACAAATAGGTGGAATAAACAATTACAATGTCTGGCAATATTGCTGATGCTCAAGAAAAACCAGATGTTTCATCCCCTCTTCCTGAATTGAATCTTAATCTTCATAATTTTGATACCCCAGAAGCTCAAAACTGTCCATACGTCCTAACCAGTCCACGGTCATTAGAAGCTTGTTCCAGACTTGGTGTCAAAGTAAGAATCAGTGGAAGTTCTTTATTAAAACCTTCTACATTATGTAGACAGCCTTATCAAGTCAGATCTATTTTTCCGGTAATTATGTATTTGGTTTTCTGCACGTAATGTGTCAACTTTTGTTGTTTCATTTGAAAATCAAAATTGACAAAACTTCTTATACATAAGAAAATGTGAAGTTTTGGAATAATACCATATTTTAGTTTAAGAATATGATTTATAAAAATTAAAATGTATCAAACATGCTTTGATAAGCTACAATATTAGGGAAAATTATGAAAATAATATTTTTATTTTCATAATTTTTATTAGTTCTTGATCATTTTTAAAGTTTATAAAAATTATCATCAATAGAATTATTAGATCAATAAATGGAAATATTTAGAATTTTGTGATTATTAATTATTAACAATATAAATTGAATATTCAATAATAAATAGCATAAAATAGCTTCATATATATATATATGTATAAAACAGAGCAAATATTTAATTACAGTAATCTATTTATATATAAAATTGAATTCATGTTTGTCTGTCTGTTTGTTCGTTCAAGTATCATGTGATAATAATGGATGAACTGATTTCTATGAAACTTTGTACATATATTCAGGATAGTCCTGGAAGGATACAGGAGACTTTTGAATTCAAGTCTGTGTCTGTCTGTCTGAGTATTATGTGAGAACAGCTGAATCCTTCTCAGACTATAGAATGTCTTTAGAGTAAATTTCAATGTAAAATTGTTTTTGATAGTTTTATTGCATTATAAATTTATTATAAGTACATACTCTTTTTTTCTGTATATACATTTTTGTGTGTATTTTTATGAGTATATTACTTTTACTTGATATGTCATTGTCATTTTCTGAGTGAAGTCAAATACCTCAGGTTGTTTATTATACAAGTACAATAGTTTTATGTTTGGTTATATATCTTAGGATATTTTTTTTTTATTACTTCAGTTTTCTAGATAACAAATTCATATCAGCTATTTCATATATATCTTACATTCAAAAATCTTTAGAGAGACAAGAAATTTTACAAAATTATAAGATACTGACTGCATGTGGAGATAGCAATTTTCCATTTTTCCAAGATTTTTGAATTGAATTCTATGAACATAAATTAAAATTTTATTACTTTTAATTTTAGTCAATTGGCTGTGTCAAAGTTCTAGGATAAAATTATTATTAATTTTATAGTAGAGATTTTTATTGATTAATAATTTTAATAATTATAGAATATTTATATTTTTGTTATCCAGTTTTCTAGAAACAAGGTTTTTTTTACTGCAGTTAATTTTTTGTGTATAAATTGTGTTTCTATAATTCATTTGCTTAATTTTCTGTAATATAAGAATATTACACTTATTTAATTCATTTTGCTGTTTGTATCAGAGTAATTAATGAATTTTGTGATAGTCAATACAGAGTTGAGTAAAAATTCATTGCATTAACAGAAAATTAAGTATATTCAAATATAATCTGTGTTTTAAGCATAATTCTTCAAACTATTTTCCATTATATGTAATAAAAGTAATTCAGATAAAAAATTGATTAATAATAATTAAAAATAGTACTAATGCATAATAATCTTAAATAATCTATTCTTGATTTTAACAACAATTGAAATATTAATAATATAAAATCACCAATTTTTATGTAGTTCATTAAATTGTTAAATGTAAAGTATGTAAATAAATTGGAATTAATTACTTTGGAAAAATGAAAAAGTAATTCTCATTTCTCTATATTTGATTATTTTTATATTTCTCAAGCAGTTATAAATTGTTAGCATGGTATGACACAGTTCTTACATTGTTCATTCCAATTTACAATAACAGTCAGCATATTCTGATTGATGAGATAATGAGAATTCTAATTGAATTATATCAAAATTATTTGATTACAATAATCTTCAAAATTGGATAAATTTTGAATTTTTAAAATAGATTTTTTATGTTTTATGATTAAAAAATATTACAGTGAAATAATCTTAGAATCAAAATGAATTATTTATAAATATTTATAAGTGTAGTGTTTATAAGATCATGTGTATATATAATGAATATATTTTCAAAATGTCTCTTATCCAAAATTTTCAAAGTTGAGGTATCAATTTGTGCAGATTCATTGATGATTTCTGCTTTCTTTTTGCTTCAAAACATCTTATAAAGAATGAAAAATTCTCCTTTAAATGCAAGCTTGCAAAGAAAATAATTCTTGTCCATAAGATGGCATCCATCTTACAGTAAAAACTTTTTAGTACAAAACATTCCTTATCTTTACATGTCTTTTCCACTGTTGTTTTTTTTTTTTCAAAATCTGTTGTTCTAAAGAATTGTTTTCAAAATGTCTTTTGTACCATCTTCATTTTCAAAGCATATTTTGTACCATCTTTGGTTTCAAATTGCTCCTTGTCTAAACTAACTACTTTAATTACTATCACAAGAAAAACTTTAAAATGCAGTGATACTTTTCAATCTAACATTTTTGATTGTTTTTATTGACCTCCTTTGGATGAAAAACAGTGATTGAATGACAGTTTTTATTTGAAACTAATGGAACATAAATGCATTTCTGATGCATATATTTAAATATAACTATTCTAGAACAAAAAATTTAAAAATGAGAGAATGTAGAACATAACAATCTAGAATAAATATCAAAACTGTGTGAAAATACCAACAAAAATTTTTTTATGTTAATTATTTAGTCCATTTGTGCATTTTGGTATTTTAATTGTTTTTATATATTTCCATTTATGTATTATTTAAAAATCCAGCATTCTTTCATTTTGAATTTTTTGTTCTAGAATAATAATTACAGTTAAACCTATATCTTGAATTTCACAGAACTGAAAAAAATTTGAGATAAACAAGTTTTAAGATGTAGTGGTTTCTATACAATAAGTTTGATTGGAAGTAGGGTATTTTATTAATAGAATAGTAATTATAGTACATACCTGTATTATAAACAAATAAAACATTCTGACATGCCTTAACTAGTTTCTGATATCTAACTTTCTTCAACCAATAAGATGCAAGCCAAACTCATAGCCAATCACAGAAAAGCAGCATTAATTACAACTATATACTGTATTGCAAGAGATGTTTCTCAAATATAATTTATTTATCAAAATGTAGTTGCTGAGCTTTGAATATGTAATTGACATTTTAGTCCATAATTTGAGAGAGAGGTTTTGGGAGCAAATTAATTGAGATAAACATGAAAATATATTGAATTTAGGCTGAAAATGAAGAAAAAAAATAAATTTTGAGATAAACATGTTTAAGATAGAAGGTTCAACTGTACTTGCATCAGAAATATGTTTATGTTTCATTTGTTTTGAATAAAAACCATCATTCAATTGCTATTTTTTTTATCCTAAATAAAGCATTAGAAGATGCATTTTAAAGTTTTTTCATGATGTTGGTATTTAATGCAAGTGCAGTATCCAAATGACATTAATTACTGTATTTTATGGTATATAAGATGCACTCCCGTTTTAGCATAGAATACTTAGGAAAAAGTTTTTAGTGTATTTAAGCCCTCCTGCATAATAAGATAACTG